ATATATATATATATATATAAAGGGGGTCAAAAAATATAAAAGAAGATAGATATTGTTGAATGCAAAAACAGATACTAGTATAAGATACGACATTTGTCAAAATAGATATAATAGCCCCGTTTATTTTACTATTTAATTCAGTAAACACGTCATTTGAACTATATTTTTTGTTTGAACTAATTAAATTTTTAATTAAAGTTTAGTTCTCTTTTAAGTTTAACAGTTTAAATTATTTTTGAATAATAAAAATGTGTCTATTTTTTCTATTTTTCACACGTATAAAATATTAATTCGAATTTTATTCCTTACACAGATTAAAATTTTAACCATACATAAACCGTACTTTTTTTTAATCCATAAAATTTGAAATAGCAAACCAAAACAAAATTCTAACTTGCCAACTGCCAGACAAACTCCTAATAGAGTAAGGCTCTGTTTATTTCACTGATTCGAGTTTAGAATTCGAGTTTTGCTACAGTAAAAAGCTCTCACAAACAATCACATTTAACTTTTTTGCTACAGTAAAAAGCTCTCACATAAAATCACATCTCAACTCGAATTAAAAACTCAAATCAGCGAACTAAACAGGGCCTAAGTCGTTAATACTTTTCTTAGAAGAAAATAGGGGAAACCCATTTTGGCTTTTGCAAGCTTTGTTTTTTTTTTTGTTTTTGTTTTTTTTTTTGTTGTTGTTGTTTTGTTTTGAAGCCACCTAATATTCCTTTATACTTTTGTAATTAAGTTACCTCACTTAAATATTTCAAACAACTAAACCTAGATATAAAATGGAAATTATAGTAAATAGATTTTTGAAACTAAATTACGTAAATAGTAGATTTTAAAACTATTTAAAGTAAATAGCAGTTTACTGATAAATGAATTATTTACCGTGTAAATAATTCATTTATGATTGGTAAAAATAATTTACGGGATAAAAAATCTTAAGAAATCTTTTTTTACATGAAAAAAATTATTTTTACCAGTCTTAAAAAGAAAATTTACTTGAAAAAAATATTTTTACTAACTGTAAATGAATCATTTATGCAGTAAATAATTTATTTACCACCTAAATTGTTATTTATTTCAAAAAATTTTAAAATATATTATTGTTTTAATTTAGTTTTAAAAATCTGCTATTTAATACATTCTCCGGATATAAAATAGGTTTTTCACCTAACCCTTTTTTTATTTTTTATTGTGATAACTTAACTTCACAAACCAAGATTTTGCGTAAAGGTACTACCTTCTCAATTTAACATAAAAAGTCATCGGTCTAAATCCATTCAGAATTTTAAGACACAAGCTTGGCAGCATCCAATAACCAAAAATCCGCAAAGCCAAGCCTTGAAGCAAAGAACACTAGGGCTCGTTTAGTTCGTTGATTCGAGTTGAGAGTGAGAGCTTTTTACTGTAGTAAAAAAGTTAAATGTGACTGTTTTTGAGAATTTTTTACTATAACAAAACTCAAATTCTAAACTCGAATCGGTGAAATAAACATGGTGCAGTTTGTTTTCAGGGACGAATAGCAACCAAAGCGGACTGTATAGATCCAGACTTACTAACCAAACGCGCTTGTTGTATGACTGGAACGACACTAATTTAAGACAAAGTCGTAAACGACAGTTCATATGAACAGAAAGACAGTACTAGAAGTGAGAGAAACGGTAAATAACAGGCCGCATACTAAAACGACGAAAAGTTCTAACATAGGGTATAATGTTAAATCCATGCTAAAAGTAAAACGATGGAATATATGTGGACGACATGCATGTCCAATGAATTGAACGACAGTAGATTCTTAGTGGAAAAACAACTAAACGGTGAACTAAAGCAAATTTCTAAACCGCAAGAATTTCATCTATCAATTATACGACAACAAATTTTGAGCGAAAAATAATAAATAAATAAACGACAGAAAAGCGTGCTAAGAATGGCATGTCATATCAAATGAAGGGACACTCTTCTGTAGTAAATGTCACGTCCGATTTTTATAAAGCATTTTTTTTTTTTTTTTTGAAAATTTTATAAAGCGTTTCTATAGTTACGAGAAGACACGTTTTTTTGTTCTTCAAATAAGGACATATTTTCGTTAAAAAGAATAAGCACATATTTCCACGAGGCTTTTCTTTCGAATGTTTCTACTATTTTATTTTATTTTTTTGTTAATATTACAAATTTTTTGAGTAATCTCAACGAATACTCTTTGAAAGTATATATAAATTAGGATTTTTATTTTTTATTCTTGATTCATAATTTTTTTAGCTAAATAATTACACTAATAAAAATATATTTATTAAGAGAAATGGATAAAGATGACACATGCTTAGTTTGGTAATGCTGTGGATTTAAAAAAAATACTTTTAGCTGTGTTGAAAGAAAAAACAGCTGTTCCAAGAAGCAGCTGAGTGTTTAGTAAATTGTAATTATAGTAGCTGTGCTGGTTTCAAAATCAGTATAATAGCGTTTGGTAAATTTTGAGGTAGAATTGTTGTGGGTATGTAAAATGACCAAAATAGACATGATATGAAATTTAAATATATAATTATTTTTAGTATTTAAAAATACTTGTTTAACTTTAAAAACCCATAATGTTTTGATTTTGAATTTTTTAACAATAAATTTATGATAATTAATTCTCTTTTTTTTTCATTTCTTCATTCACAATATAATTACAACTAAAAGAAGCATTAGTGACAATTACTCAGGGACAATTGTAGTCTTCGAATTGTGGAATTGTTTTTGGCATAGAACTTTGCATTCTCAAAAATATCAATTGGCCCCATCACCTTTTCCTAAAAAATTATACCATTCTGTTCCATCCACAGATACCAAAGTATAAAGAGGCTCACAAGGATAAAAAAAACCAACTGAAAAGAAAACGTGTAACTGAATGAATGAGTATATGCAATCTCTTTTACATTTGTCCGTGAGTAGGAAAAAAAATCAGAATGTAAGGTGGATAAAAATCATATAACAAACATCTTATATGAAGTAGACAATTCATTCAAAATTACAAAACATGGCATGCATGGAAAAAACAAAATACAAAATACACACACACGCAAATACATAAATAATATATCCACACACACGTAAATACAAACATATATATCCATACACACACGTATATACCTACAAATACAAACTTAAGTCCTTTCATTCTTCAAACAGCTTTAGCGTACTTCAAATCCTCTTCCCATGGACACTCCACTTTGGTTTCACTTGACATCTTCACTTGTACCACTTTGGTTTGAAAATTCCACAATATTCGAATTTTCACTCTCTAGAAGTGTTATTCCTCTAATTCCCCTATACCCAACAATGAAGCCAATTCTTTCAGAGCCAAACAAAAGAAAGGAAAAATAGCACTTAAGAATGCAGCAACATAAGAGCATTTACCTACCCATGTTCCAATTGAATGCAGGCACCTGAATGAAGTATATCCAAAGCTTCCATATCCAAAGCTTTTCATTATAAATATAACCTAATGTAATGCTACAATAACTTGTGACGCATATATACCTTCTTTAAAGTCACTATCTCTAGCAGGATGCATAGTTGAACTTGACGAACCACTAGGATTTGTTTTCTTTTCTGTTTGAAGCCAAGTCCACCACCTACTAATACACTCACTGCCACAATAAAAAAAAGAGAGAAAAAAGAATGAAGAACAAATTACAGCTCCAAAATTTACAAGCGATGAAAGATAAAGTAAGCAGAGAAATTAGAGCCTAGCAATACTAATGGAAGCAATGAAAACAGGACATCAACTTCATAAACGACAAATTCTTGTTCTGGTCATCTTCTGAGACTAAAGAATACAAACACAATGGACAATCACCATCCGGGTGATTCATTAAAGAGAGCCTCTCCACAGCTTCCTAGAAATACATTCAAACCACTCATTTAGCCAATTTTCTACATAATGCATAAGGCTTTATAGACAACCCAACTCAACCCAACAACCCACGTATTTTATTGAAATGTTGCGTTCTATCCTATATTTCAAAGCATGTTCTACCTTTCCCTATATTTTAGAAGTTTTGTTAAAACCTTCAACAAGGGGAGTTTTTAAACATGATTTCTAGGTGACTTGTAAATATGGTCCAACTTAAAACATGTAAACAAAGCTAATTTGGTCCAACTTTTATGTTGTTTCTTTTGTTTTGTAAGAAAAAGCAAAACGGGTCATTTCTACAAGAGTCCTTAATGTTGTTTCAACCGGTCATTAAAAAAAATATACTAAACACAATAGGTGATCTCTTGAGGTTCACCAAGTGGGATATTTCCCCAGACTTCTTCATTATCACTCTAGCCAAAAGAAAAAAAAGGCACGAATTCAAGAGTGATAAACCCAGAACTCCGAGCTAAAAAAAAGGCACAATGAGAGGTAACACTTACTAATGGGCTTCACATGCTGCATGGCAAGGTAAAGTGAACCGAAACTCATGGAAGAAAGTGACCTCTTGCTCTCCTCCAAAGCAAGGCACCTTGATGCGAGATTCCGTGTCAACAACACTTACAAATTTATTGTCTGCATCATTGCCATTAAGATATCTCAGAGAGACAACCATAACATGGTGACCGCGGGAAGCTAGTACAATAGGCAAAGAACCAAATATCCGTCCTGATTGCCCGCTCAATTGGTTTAATGGCAAAGAAGAACTACAAAAAACAAGGCAAATTGAAAGCAATTCATTGAATCATGAAAGAGAAGCAAAATTTAAGATCTTTCTTCTCCAAGAAAAAGCAAAAAGAAAATTTCCACGGGCTTACTTAGATTAATAAAATCAGAGGAATGAAGGTCTTCCCCCTCTCATTGGGGTTTGGCCCTTTAATCAACTTCGTATCAACAAAAATAGACTTGCTTCCATTCAAC